TTAATCCCATTTTCATATTTTATTCGGTAGTTAAGTAGACTGATATGTTACTTTCAGCGGTGATTATTGATGTCAATATCTCATCAGTTAAAACACGACATTATGACATGAATTGATATAGAGGAGATGAAATGTGGCTAGCAGTGGAAACCAACATGTGCATTTTGTTCTATTTAGAACCCATCAGCTAGATGTACATGCATTCCATAGTTGATGTTCAGTCTGGAGTTCTCCTGCTAACTGCGTTCCATCTATTCTACATTAAATCGTGCCATATTGTTTATCACCAGGCGATCCACACTAGATGTCTAGATGCCAACAAGGCTAATCCGATTCCTGTCGAAATATCAAAAATGGGATAACCCGATATACTTGAAATTGTATAAAATTTCATACCCGTTGCACAAGTGAGTGGCTATCTAAATTCAGTAGTTAAGTTGACAGCACGGTGGTATTTGAAGCGAACGTTACTAAATCCGAGTTCCGGAGTGTACATTCACTCTGCAACCTAGGTCTACCTAGCTAAAGAGTCTTAAATAGGACAAAACGCGTGTTGTCGGTACCACCGCTGGCCATATTCTCCCTATTATAAATTACAATGCACATTGGTTATGAAAACGAACAAACGTCATAATACATTGAATTTCGTTGATGGGAAGTTTGTTTTTAGAGAAAAATAATGATTACAACCTGTATATCTTCAGATTTTAGGCATATGTTTTAATAACACTTGAACTAAATACGATTTTTATTGCTTATGGATATATCCTCAAAATTTATTCTAAGGTTTAAATAGAAAGAACGACAATTGCTTTAATGCCAGGTATCCATAGCTATAATCACGTGTGAACATAAATCTGAACTAGTAATAGTATGATAATTACAGCTTAATATTATTGTAAATGTAATCACGGCACAAATTATTGGCTTTTATTTTCATCTTTAAAAAAATAGTAATAAACGACATTATCATTACTAAAATAATAATTCATATTGGAGGATAGTTATGCAGATCAGTAAATCATAAAGGTTTGAAACAATTCGTTCATTAATGAAGGGATTGTATTTAAACTATAGTTATAAATAAATATTATATTTGTAATATCCCAATGAGTAGAAAAATGAGATTTTCTGACGTTTCATGACTTAGTGTAAGCCACTTCTTCAAAGAATAAATAACCAAATTAAAATTAATCCAAGTTTAAACAGTACAACGGAACAATATGAATAATATGTGATCAACCGAAAGATCTCGCTAGCCTTAAATATTTTTGGAAGAGCTAACAGGATCATCACATCAGAAGAGGACAAACAGAAAGAACAAAAGAATGTAATTAGTATCTTACAATCTAATAGATCTCATATGAAGATCATTAGAAGTATATTAAAACAAGACGGTTCAATGAGTGATAATAATTCGAATGAAATGCCATGGTTTGGTACTGCAGTTTTACCATACCGTCATGGCACAACAGAAGAACTCCAAAGAATCCTAAAACAACGCAGAATTAAAGTATATTACAAAACAACGAACACACTTCGAAATACTTTAGTTCGCATAAAAGAAAAAAATCCCTTTCATGTCTACACAGAACTGCGCCTACAAATTAGGTTGTTTCGATTGTGATGCCTTCTATATTGGAGAGTCATCTCGCGAAATCTAGACTAGAGCCAAAGGACATATTAGGTACAAAAAGAAACCTCCTAACAACCCCGTAGAACTGGATAGACTTCAAATTTAATCGGCAATAGCAGTTCACGCCATTTTCAACGACCACCAAATTGACTTCAAAAATATCAAAATATTGCAAAAAAGGCTTTTCCCATTTCAAAGAAAGGAGAGTAGCTGAAGCTTTCCATATAATGCTTAATCCTACTTGTCTCAATGCAAAAGAAGGTCTTACCATATATCCTACTTGGACCATCTATCCTAACCATTCAGTCTGATTGTATTTACAATTTCACATTATCATATTACAGATTTAAACTCTGTCCTTTCTTACCATAAAGGTCACACAAGTTTTCATTCTTAAACAATGCACACATACATACACACACAAATTTACATACATGTCACTTATGAATCACTTTTACAGAAATGACATGACATCAACTTGTTCAGACCTGTTGTTGATTGATCAAATACTATTCTTGCATTGTTCCGTTGTACTATTTAAGCTTGGATTAATTTTAATTTGGTTATTTATTCTCTGAAGAAGTGACTTACACTAAGTCATGAAACGTCAGAAAATCTAAATTTCTACTCATTGGGATATTACAAATATATTATTTTTATTTATAACAATTAACCCAATGCTCAATTTATTCGAAATTATCAAATCAAACCTTGGTAAATGATACCTATAAACTATAGTTGTTTTAATGTTATGCCAACTATCATGATAACCTTGTTTCATTAGTTGATGATATCAATCCTAAAGGTTATTATAAATAAATCAATAATTTTTTTAAGTCAACAAAATGTCGAACAAGGGTAAAGTGAATGTTTCACTATGATAGATTTGTAAATAAAAAAATAGACACTACAATGTAATATGTGTAAATGTAATTCGATATAATGTGAAAGATCAAACGTTCTATATTAAAATGTGTATGATATCGCTTAATCTAACCGGAAAATGGATTTAAAAAATTAAGTGCGAAGGTATTGAATTGTTAAGCTGACCGATTTATCAATATAAACCATTATTATTTTTTAAAAATTAGTTATGGTAAAAATTGATGTTACGTTCCTGTTTATCTATTCTATTATATACACAAATTTCATATATATTACAAACTCATTGTAGGCGTTTAAGAGGGTGTTTTCATATATATTTCACATCATTTTTAGGTGTATTAATGTATTATATACATGCATCAGAGCTCTAAGTCTTCATGAACTACAAGTATGTGATCTTTGTTAAAACAAAAACAAATTATGGTCATTTCAAAACTTAGAATTGGCTACTGCAATATGATTACAAACGATAGTAGTAAAACATTTACAATACTTTATGAACAATTTAATAATGAAACCTGATTTTTTTTAACCGTCTATGAACAAAATAATGATCAGTTTTGATAAATTATATTTTTAAAAAATAGTACATTTATTCCTGAATACGATAATGTATATACGTAAGATTTTAGAATTTTCTAAGTGGTAGGTTGATTAGTTCAAATGGTTCAAATCTTATAATGAACATGCAATACCAATAAATAGCTCAAAATGATTGTAATTGTTGTGGTTAAATTAAATACAGTTGAATATACATGTATATGAATGATGTTATTGTCATGATGAATGTTGAAACGATGAATGAATATAAAGATTATATGACAGTTCTTATAAATAGAAGATAGTATAAAATAATATATAACAATATCATGGTATAAGGTAAATAATTTGTCAGAAAATTCACATTAATAAACTAACATTTCAAAATAGTAGAGTTGTTACTTACTATGTTCAATGTTTAATGTTTTCATTTTGGAGTGAAACGAAAGCTAGAACATGTAATGAAACATTTATAAAAATATATATTTGGTCGCAAATGAATTTAGGTAACTAGAATAGTTACGAAAAATTACTAAACAAATGAAAATATAAGCAAATATAATTTCCAGAAGATTTTAGAAACCTTCCTAAACCCCTTTTGATAATAATCATCTGCTCACTAGTGGCTGACTTAAAGAGATACTCCTGGAGTTCTAGTGAGAAGACGTTACCAGTGGAGTTCAACCAGGTCTGTTGTGAGATATCATCTCAATGAAAACAACGGTGTACGGTGGCGCAACTTCGTGGATTGGTTGAAGTTAGACATTAATGTCGTTGAATGCCGGCTCAGTGGTATAGTTGGTCAACCACCTGGCGCAAGACTGATAGGTCCTGAGTTCGAATCTCGCGGGGTGCTGGATCGTGGATGCGCACTGCTGAGGAGTCCCATAGTGGGACGAAACGGCAGTTCACTGCTTCCAGGTTTTCTATGGTGGCCTACCTTCAACTGAATCATACTTTCAATCTGTGAAATATCATTTCATCTAGATGATATTAAAATATTGGGTTAAATTTTACCTTGTATAAAGCAACACAAAAATCATATGTATCAAATATATATATATATATATATATATATATATATATATATATATATATATATATATATATATATATATATATATATATATATAGATATATATATATGCCTAAAATGAAGTTAAATGTTTAGTGATAAGTATCAGATTATCTTGAAATCCTTTTTAAAAGGATTTGTATACTTTATACGGTTTGAAGCATAACTGGAAGCATTTCTAATATTTCTTTTGTTAGATTAATATCATGAATGGATCGATGTTGAATCACCATTGAAAACCTGGAAGTACTGAACAACCGTCTCGTCCTAGTATGGGACTCCTCAGCAACTCATACACACGATCTCGCATGCAAACGCTTAATCTATAGACCACTGAGTCGGCATATAACAGTGTTCATTAACTGTCACAAAGTAATCTCATATAACGTAAATAATATATCAGTTGATAATGTTTATATATAAAACACTAATAATATTGATACGATAATCTAAATTCTGAAATCTGAATTTATAAATAAAAATATCTGACTATCTAATTAAGTACAAACTAAATCTAAATAAATATGTGGATATTTTTTAAATGAATATCAAATTTCTATATGATCATGAGTTGATGATTGGTTTACAGATTTTAGAGTAAAATGCCAACAGATATATTGTCTCTTATCACTTTCACTTATTTACATCTCTCTCGCTCTCTCTCGCTCCCTCCATATATATATATATATATATATATATATATATATATATATATATATATATATATAGGCATGATTGTCCAATCATGAAATAAGATAATATCTAACCAGTAGCATGCATTTTTGTACTAAATAATTTGTACCAATAATAATAAAACATCTTACTCATGTAATCTATTTATACAACCATTGTACATTAACATTTATATTTGATAAATTTATTATTATTATTATGTAAATTTAATAAAACGTTTAACACTGTTATTCCATATTCACTATTCATACATGTAAATTATCTAATGCATCATTAATACACTACATTAGCCATAATAATAATAATAATAATAGTGGATTTGTATTTCTAATGATACATTGAATATTTCTTTTTATTATCTATAACAAATCAAATCATAAAAGAATTCAGTGAGTTTATTTTATGATTATAAATATATTTATTTGCAAACTATTTTAATATATGTAAATTAATAATTGAATTCATGATTCAATTACAGCTAGATCATCATGGAAAACTCAGATAGCCGTTTCGTCCTAGTATGGGATTCCTCAGCAGTGCATATCCACGATCCCGCTGCGCAAGATTTGAACCCAGGACCTATAAGTCGCGCTCGAACGCTTACCCCTTAGGCCATTGAGCCGTTATCTAATGGTGTTAATGTCTAACTTCAACCAATCCATGAAAGTGCTCCACCGTTCACTACTATCTTAAGTGCTACCAGGTTTTTCGTAGTGGTTTAGCTTCAATTGACTAATGAATTCAATTATTAAATTACTACAATCTCCAAAAAACCTCTCTGAAGGTGAGACTACAATTTATGAACGAGCTTTGACACCAAAGTGACCCTGATGGTGTCTACCTAATTAATAGAGCTAAATGAAGTTTATAAAGCAGTTTGAAGAATAAAGACAATGATTTACAGTTGATGACAAAGGTTAAGATTTAGATTTATGGTTTTCATCCCGAACTCTATTTGAACGAATGAATGAGTGAATTTCGCGCCAAAGTCCAAGACCTTTTATTCTAAATCTGATTGGTTGATCCATAAATTATAATCTCGCCTCTCTGATTATATGTAACTTAATTGTTGATTGTTTAATAAACGTAGTTTTTTTATAATTTTAATCATTGAGTAACTTCCTACAAATGCTATTTATGTATATTTTATTTGCATTATTTATCAATGTACTTGCTTAACACCACAATAACCTATTTTCTAGTCAGTAACACCACATATTTGCTAATATATGTAATAAAAGAGTAAATGAATTTTTCATCTTACCAACAAGTTGTTTATTTGGTTTGCTTTTTCTCCAGCTGGAGAGAATAAAACTTCATCGAAATCATCCATCTGACCTACAAATCTCCACTATTTAAGATAATAATTCATTTTCTGTCATTGTAATTAACAATTTATGCTACCAAATGAAATATTGATCTTCCTCCTTTTACATTAATCTATTTTGTTTTATGTTTTAAACAAAAGCTCTATTTATTATATTCTCATTAGATTAAATATGGACTCTTCTAGACTGGCAATGTATTGCATATTGATTACTCGAGATTATTCAAAAGCCTAAACACCAGTTATAGAAATAGTTTATTGTTAAAGATTGGTATAATCCGCAAGCGTACAGGAAGCAAGCACATAGTGAAACCAAGAGTATGTGTGTGTGGGTGTTAAAAATCCATATATATATATATATATATATATATATATATATATATATATATATATATATATATAGTTTTGAGTGTTAATCAAGTATGGATAAATTATTGTCTGTGTGTTACCACCAATGGGAGAATAGATTACAAATTGACATGTGCTCAATCAGACTTACACAGAAAATTACATGGTGGATCAAGTGTCTAAATTACAATGAGCAGATAAATAATACAGTAGTTGGATGAGCTTACTACAAAATCATAGAAATTATTATTGAAAACAGTATATGGCATATACCTTTATTTTTTGCAAATTTTCTTTAACTGGTTAGAAATACATATTTTGTTTGTACAAAAATGAACAATCAGGTGGAACTTCTTAGTGAACAATAAATTGAATAATAAACTGAATTTGATATAAAATAAACATTCTTATCTGTAAAACGTCTATTTGTATAAGACTAAATGAGAAAGTGGCATGCTTAACTTATGAATACCATTGATAACATTTAATGTAATGAACATTTTCTATGAAATGAAACTATCTATCACATGCTGAATACGATATAAATTAGAAAAACAAAATAAGTGGTCTAGACACATTTTCCCATTCATATCTTAATAGAACTATCTAAAATCATTTCTTATTATTAATTGGTTATTTCTTATGTAATAGAAAATGATACTTTAGAAATAGACTATTTTTTCTAATAGACTTAATCATGGTCACATCTTGAACAAATTCTTATTGTTTTGTTTATTTTGATTGTTTCATAACATGAATGTATTGTTCATTCAATAGCTTCTCATTGTTTATTGAATTTGGCATGTTGTCTAAAATAACTATAATTTGCATATTCTCTATATTACACAAATAGTTTTTGATCTGATTCCAAAGAAATATTAATAAAAAAAATTATAATTATAAAGGTAATAATGAATAAAAACGATTCAATTTATGGCATAACATGTATTACTGATAGAATTGTCAATATGATAGAATTAGGTCAAATAATGATAAATGTTATTTGTTATTGTTGGTGTTGGTGTTGTTGTTTACATTGTATTCATCATTAAAGACTAAGTATTCATTTAATATTTGTATGGATTACATACATAATATTGTCGGTGTTAATGTTTCTAATTAATTATCTTCATTCATATAATTGTCCATGTGAATTCCAAAAAAATAATCTTACGAAATACAAATTTTAGATGGTATAGTATGATCAATGAAAATACTTTGATGATAAATTCAATTTCCTATCAATAGAACATTATAAATAAATTAATATAGTTGTAATATCTGAATGAGTAGAAAAATAAGATTTTCTGATGTTTAGTGACTTAATGTAAGCCACTTCTTCAAAGAATAAATAACTAAATCAAAATTAATCTCTTGTACTATTTAAACTTGGATTAATTTTTTATTTGGCTATTTATTCTCTAAAGAAGTGGCTTACACTGAGTCACGAAACGTCAGAAATTTTTTTTTACTGATTGGGATATTACAAATATATTATTATTATTATTATTTATAACAATCTACCCAATACTTAACTCATTCGAAATTATCAAGTTAAACCTTGGTAATGATACAACGGAACATTATATTAATATTGTCTATAATAATTTTATTGATCGAGGAAAGAATTAATGATAGTTAGTTAAGGAGAAAACAAGAAAAGACATTCTTATCAACTATGCTCTTTTTATTCATCGCATTTCTTATCATAATCTATTGTAAACATATTACATTTTAGTAGAATAAGTAACAGAGTGGGTGCTGAACCGGATGAAAGACTCGGTAGACGCCCAACTTCGAGATCAACAAGCTGGATTTCGTAAGGATCGGTCGTACACGGACCAAATTGTGACACTACGGATCATCGTCGAACAATCAGTTGAGTGAAACTCGTCACTGTACATCGACTTCATTCTTCATGAAAAGGCATTTGACAGTGTAGATAGAAGAACGTCATGGAAACTTCTTCGACACCACGGAGTTCCTGAGAAAATTGTCAATATTATCCGGAACTCATCTGACGAACTACAGTGCAAAGTCGTGCACGGAGGACAGCTGACAGACGCATTCGAAGTAAGGACCGGAGTCAGACAAGTCTGTCTACTCTCTCCCTTACTCTTTCTTCTGGTGGTCGACTGGATTATGAGGACCTCGACATCTGAAGGAAAACACGGAATACAATGGACAGCTCAGAATCAATTAGACGATTTGGACTTCACAGATGACCTAGCCCCCCTATTGCATACACACGAACAAATGGAGATAAAGACAGCCAGTGTAGCAGCAGTCTCTACATCAGTAGGCCTCAAAATACACAAGGGGAAAACCAAGGTCCTCAAATGCAAAGCGGAGAACAGCAATCCAATCACTCTTGATGGTGAAACTCTGGAAGATGTAGAATCCTTCACATACCTGGGAAGCATCATCGATGAACAAGGAGGCTCATATGCAGACGTAAAGGCAAGGATTGGCAAAGCAAGGGCCGCACTCCTACAAATGAAAAACATATGGCACTCAAAACAATTCTCAACCAATATCAAAGTCACAATCTTCAATACGAATGTCAAGGCAGTTCTACTGTATGGAGCTGAAACTTGGAGAACTACAACAACCATCATCAAGAAGGTACAAGTATTTATAAATAGTTGTCTTCGCAAGATACTCAACATCCATTGGCCGGATACCATCAGCAACAGCCTTTTGTGGGAGAGAACAAACCAACTTCCAGCTGAAGAGGAAATTAGGAATAGACGATGGAAATGGATAGGACATACATTACACAAATCATCAAACTACATCACGAGGCAAGCCCTAACTTGGACTCGCGAAGGGAAGTGGAAAAATGTATGGCCAAAGAACACATTACGTCGGGAAATAGAATCAGATATGAAAAGGATGAATAATGACTGGAAGAAGCTCGAAAGGATTGCCCAGGACAGGGTTGAATGGAGAATGGTGGTTAGCGGCCTATGCTCCTTCACGAGGAGTAACAGGCGTAAGTAAGTATGTAAGTAAGAATAAGTATGCATTTTGAATTCCCTAAAGTTACTATCTATACATTAAGGATTACTAAACTCTAACCTTAACTTATACTATTTTTTTATTACATTTCCTGACATCTTGTGATGTTATACATAAATTCTAATGTTGCATAGTGTTTTCTAGTTATAATACAAGTTTTAATGCAAGTTTTCACTTGGGAAATCACTAAAAGTAAATGGACTTTTAACGTGCCTTTAAGGTAAAACAAATGAAAAAAAGGTTTAATTGAACAAAATTTTTCAGTTCATTAATACTGGAGTTAATTTTTAAAGCTTAAACTTTATTTTTAATGTAATGAACATTCAGAATATATGAGTAATACGTTTACTATTATACGTGTATAATTGCCATAAACACCTTATATTATTAGATATATATTTGAGGTAAATATAGAAAACAGATTGTACATGTTAATTTGAGTAAATGTTTTCATTCAAATAGTCCACTTAATTAATCATGATAATCAATTCATCAACAGCTTACAGCCAATTAGATGAAAACATTTAAATAACTGGTTGAAAATTTTTAATAAAGCTAAAGTCAATTTTGTTACAAACCTGTCAAGGATAAAACCTGTGATTGTCTTCGTCTCATTGGGATTTGCACTTTATTCTAGACACTGATTAAGGATATTCGGCTTAATACTAAGCTCAAATAATTTAGATTTATTGT